GTTAGATCTCTTAAAGTCCTCTACACCTCACTGTCAAGTCCAGTCGACGCCATCGGGTGGTTTTTTTTCCAGCAGACTGCGTTTCGTGGCTGGCATGACCTTGTGACAGCTGACGTTTACCCACCGCGCCTGGCTGTAGGTCGGAAGGAAAGTTCCATGAAATATGCTAATTTTGCAAGAAAACTGACCCCTATAATGCGCTCTGGGTGCCTTAGGGCCTTAAACTGTGCTAACAGCCGTGTACACAACTGATACAGTTCCCCAACACCTACGCCACAACAGCCCTGCCTTTTCACTTTTCTCATGCAACGTAAGTGAAAGTTTTAGACCTCGGAATGCACTAGCAGAAGGGGTCTATCAGAGTCCCAACTATTCCCTGCAATTTTGAAAAAATGGAAAGGAGACCGACGGAACATTCAAATTCTCTTCCGTTTTGCATTTACTTCAGCACCCGTGGAGCGGCTTTTCGTCAGTGACATAGACAACAGTCGTAAAAACGGCTTTTCTGGAGCGGTGTAGCTGATTAGGGGTCGGTCCTCTATGTCTGGACTCAAATACATAGGACTGAGAACTGGAGACTACTTTGACTGAATTCACAGAGACATTTTAGAACGTATCGGCCTTAGGGGTTGTCTTATTTGCCAATCAGAATTCCCTTCCCGAATTGTGAAAGTAACTTAGTCTGAATGACCCCTTGTATTGGTTTAAATACTAGGGTTCTAGGACGATTCTGGAAAGACAAATAAAGACAGCTCAACGAAGAAAACACACTGCAGTTGCAGAACTTCGCTCGATTATATTCATCAAATATATCTTCTGTGGTTTGAGAGGACGGCCATTCAGAGGATAAATCGTACTCGGAATCACAAATCGCAAGAAAAATTTTTCATGAAATTGGCTTTGACATCGGGAAATGTTAGCTTTTCTGAAATAATTTGCGCAGGCTTACCCGGTATTCACATCAGTCCCTGCGGCCTAAACGGTTTCCTGAAGTCCTGACACGAATTTCTTGCGAACTGGAAGATTTCGACAGGAGGCGAGGAGAGCCCACAACCACTATGAGGAAGGACAGTCCATCTCTTTCAGTTCTGTAGTGCGGTTTTTCTTTCGTGCTTAACTGCAAAGACCGAGTTCAAAAAATTGAAAGCACCCCATAAAGACACGACCGCTAACTAGCCTACCAACCTTAGTAGGATAGTAGGCTTTTAGGAAAAGACAGAAGTCCCCAGAATGAGGGTTTGTTGTATACAGAAACCCGAGTTGTCTTCTCAGACAGCAGTGGCCGTTGGCGAAGACAGAGCTGGTGTTTACTGCGTCCAGTAATGCCTGAGAGTCTGTGAGGCAAAGACAAGGGAGACTGGAATAGCCATTTCTGGCTTATTATCCGTAGCCAGCCAGTTATGCCCAATCCCGAAGTGCGCAACACCCGAGGCTCGAACTCGCGACCTATTAGTTAGAAGTCCAGGCCTCTAACCACTGAGCCACGAGCCCGTTGCCCAGTTGCCCCTGTGGTGTCTAGTTTGTATTCGTCAATTTTTTGAGGGATGTTGATGTGCTCAAATGGCGCATGGGCAGCCGCTACTCCGTGGACCCATGTGCAGATTTAGCCGGACTAGAAGTTTTATTTCATGCCCGATGTTGACCATGGTTATCAACCTGCTAACAAAAGGGTTATTTTAAGAAAACCAGAGGGTTTTATCAATTCCTTTATGTCAAATTAGCAGATCTATGCGAGTTGGTGCCCTAAAGTACAATAATAACGCAGATAGAGGTTCCTTCGTTTAAGTGGGCTGAAATGTTTTTGCCCTTTGGAAAATTCTACCTGATGTGACATAGATGACCACCACGAAATGGTCATTTCCAGCTTTAAGCATATGCACACTACTTTTCTAGTATTTTAGCTTCTGCGCATATTTTTTTGCAGAAATAGAACGAGCGAAACATTTTTAGTTTCATCAAAATATCAGTATTTATACGGGCGCTCTGCCGTGCATTCATAATCGAAGAACGGAGTCTAAAAGAGAGCAAAAACACTGAAAATGGCCACAATGTATAGAGGAAGGCCAAAAGTGTCAAATTTTTACTTGACCTCACCGTGCAAAAATGCAAAGTACACAGAGATCCGTCAACGGAGTGCGGTAATAAAGCACTTCCTAAAGAGGTAACTTATAAAGGAACGTTTTTTTATTGATCCAAGAAACATTCGTTGCTGACTATCGTTGTAGACAGACATTTTTCTTGAAAATGAAGTTTGATGTTTGATCGAGTCTTCAAATGTGACCCAAACGACCATCCTCATGAAAAGGAGCGCCTTAGCACTCACCAATTCTGAAATTGCCTTCAAGAACAATCTTATTTTTAAGTTTTGAAGAAGGAGACAGGATCACCGAGACAAGAACTTTATTAGCATGACGTTTCGGATTCCTACTCGAATCCATCAACAGAGACAAAAAAGCAGAAACGGCTGGTTGTTGCACAAGGGGCTGCGGTATTTATAGGATGCAGTAGCCATGCTACCGCATACCTATGAACATTCGCAGCTCCCCCCTTCATCCGGGATCGTCGCACTTGGTGTGATCATTGCTTGATGGCCGATATTGGAGTCGATAATTGCTGCAATTTCATCACGTGCGTTGGATGTTGGCGTGATGATTGCTCAACCATCTGACGCACCGACCCCGGTGTTGGGAAAAGTGTTCACCTGTACGCTCCCCGCTTGGATAGTTACTCCACCTAAGCGAAGTCTCGGCATCGAGTGTGGAATGTAAAGTTCATTGCACTTGTTAATGGACTGGGGGCCAGTAAACCATGATTCCAGCAGCTCCCAGCTCACACGGCTGTCGCCTCTTGCGAGAATTTCGGCCTCGTCGAATTTGAATGTGTGGCCCGATCTCGTCGAATGGGCCGCAACTTGAAAGCCGGTGTCATTTCTCCGCATCGCTGCAGCGTGTTCGGCCATTCTCATTCGGAGCTGTCTTCCGGTTTCTCCGACGTAGTTGCCTTGTCCGCAATTGTACCAGATCCGATAAACGACTCCAGACGTTTCTAGCCGTGGCAGTGGGTCTTTCGGTTTCATGATCAGACGCCTGATGGTTGCCTCCGGTTTGTGTGCAACTACAACCCCAAGTGGTGCGAGAAGACGGCCGACAGCTTCCGAAACGTTCTTGACATACGGAAGTGCCCGCCAAGACTTGGTGTCCGTGCGGTTAGGCCCTTTGTCCCTTTTGCGTATGCATCGGTCGACGAAGTTGCGCGGGTAGCCATTGGCTTTGAAGACCCGTCGGCGTTAATTTTGTCTGCCGGCTCACTGCAGTGCGTTTCGACACGCCGATAGAGCGTCCTTACACAACTGCGTTTGTGACTGATTGGGTGGTTACTGTTGAAGTTCAGTACTTGCATCGCATTTGTCGCTTTCCTGAACACTTTGGTCTTTAGTCCACCACAATCCTTGCGGCATACGAGGACATCCAGGAAGGGCAGCTGGTTGTTCTCTTCCTCCTCCATCGTAAATGGTATGCCCGGGAAGACCACATTCAGACGTTCCTTGAATGTCGATAACGACGAAGGTATCATCCACATACAGGGCCCAGAACTTCGGTTTGTGGTGTTAAAAGACCAGCGATTCTTACCGTTGCAGGACCACTTTGGCGACGAATCCCGAAATCGGCGAACCCATTGGTGTGTCCTTCACCTGTTCATAGATTGTCCCGTCGAACGTGAAGTACGTCCTGAGACAGAGCTGGAGGAGCTGAAGGATTTGGGCGTGTCCAAGACGGTTCTTCGTTTCATCGTATTTGCTTTGTAGTAGCAGCTCGATTGTCTCGATCGCCAGGTGCTGAAGAATAGAAGTAAAAATGGATGTAACATCAAAAGATATCATGACCTCAGTTGGATGGATGCTTACCCCTTTGAGTTTCTCCAGGAATTGTGCTGACGAAGAGACCGTGGTGCCTGACTCAGCGGTCAGGAACTTGAGACGCCGGAACAGCCACTTAGCCAGTCCGTACGTTGGAGTCCCTTTGAGCGACACGATGGGTCGGAGAGGAGCGCCGTCTTTGTGCACCTTAGGGAGGCCATAGAATCGGGCCAAAGCCGTATCTTGGGGTCTCGCCATGCGTCTGTCGGTCGGTGTTATTGCACCTGAGTTCTCCAAGGCCAACAACGTAGCATTAATTTCGCGTGTCAGCGTCTTCATCGGGTTCGTTGCACATGGTACATAGAACTGTCGGTCCTCCAGTAAACCTTTGGCTTTTTGAAGGTATCCTGTCCTGTCCAGTACAACTGTGGCGCGTCCTTTGTCCGCTGGCACGATGACCAGGTCTTTGTCGGCCTTGAGTTCTCTAAGCGCATCACGTTCGACCTTGGAAAGCACTTCCCGCGGCCTGTGGGCCATTAGGAGAGACGACACTTGGTGTCGGATGAGGTTCTTAGTCTCCTCCGTTGCCTCCGTCTGACAAAGGATTGATTCCACTGCTGCAATAATGTTAACAGGTTTGGCGTCAGCCGTGTTAAATGAAGCTTCGTGCCGTAGAACCTGCATCTGGTCCTTCGTCAGGTTGTGTACCCGTTTGTCGTTTCTGGGCGACGTTGGATTGGGCAGCTTTCGAAATTTTTTCGAGTAGGAATCCGAAACGTCGGGCTTATAAAACTCTTGTCCCGGCGATTGTGTCTCCTTCTTCAAGACTCGTCTCTTCGCTTTTATTTTTAAGTTCTCAACAGACAGTCAGTTCAGAACCTGTCTTTAGGGGCGGTCGGGGGAAAACCCTGAAAATCATGAAGTATTCAGCAATATTTCGAGGCCGATCCAAAACGAAGGAAAAGTATAAATTAATTTAACGGAAGAAAAGTTCTCTCTATAAACACAAAATGGTATGTTTGTGATCACGCCTGTCAATTCTATTTAAGTTTATTATGCACTAACCGGCCTCATGGCATGAAACCTTATGAAAACTTTTGTTTCTACGACGTCCTCATCGGCCAAATCAAGCAAAATCCAACTTCTTTTGTTGAACACCATCTAATTTAACTCCACATAGTCAACTAAATTATCAAACACTAGAAAACTGTTTTGGAATCCACAACCAGAATGTAGGCAGTTGACAAACCGTCATATATGGAGTCACACTACCCATTAAACGATATTAAGATGTACACTTAACTAAAACACTGTTATTAGACATCATTTTATGTCTACTTTCATATTTACTACGTGTTTGATATGAGAATACATTCTATACACCTAAAAACGAACTTTACCTAATGAGAGCCATTTCTGACGTTTTCGGGATATTGTGCTTTTCAAAATAAATCGACATTTCTAAACAACGCAACACTGCCTATAATATTCTTTTTATGCTTTTGATTCTTTTAAACTTGAATTAGCTCAAATCGATTTAAGCAGTGACAATTTTACAGTAAGTACGGTCATATCAGACAGAGCTTAAAAAACCTGCCATGCAGCTAAACTTAATTTTCAGACCATCCACCCGCAGAATATGTCACTTCTGCTCTGCACCACACGTGGGGTTGATGCTTTGAAGAACAGTTTCACTGACGTAAAGCACGCGTTCTCCCCTCGATACTCCTAGCAGATGTAGACTCGGCAGGGATTACTGTCAGGATCCAGACTTTTAAATCCAAACTTTTCCAAACAAGAATTTTCCCAAATCCACATAGAGACACAGTTAAAGTAGGCGGGCTAACTCATGAAATGTCAAATGAAATTACAAAATGCGTTTTCGTTTCAAAAAGATTAATTAAGTAGATTTGTAAAACTGATCAGTCTGCGGTATGATTCTATAATAATTCAGTTACCTTAAGATGCCGGCTTTCGAAATAACTTCCTTCCGGCTGCATGCAAAAATTATACTCTGTAAAAAATGATTGCTTATGCGGCATGCACTGTTCTCATTAATTTTCGATGCTCTTAAAAATTTAATTATATTTCATGGAAAACACGCATAAAAACGTCCGTTCATTTACTAATTCGGTGCCAAATTACGTCTTCTTTCAATTTTATACTCGAAGGAAGGATATAATTCGGTTTTAAAAAGTTTCTAATCGTGTGATTTTTATTACCGTGAAATGGCCCTTCATAAATCGTCGTCTCTACATTTACCAATGTGGCTTGGAAAGGTAACAATGTGGTTCAAATCCACTGCTTAATTTTATGAACCTCATATGGTCTCCTCTTAACACCGTGGAGATATGCATGGTTTTCCGTACACGGAAAATACATCGCTTGTTGTTTGCAAACACTGAATGTAATTGTAACGGCAGGTCGGGTTCAAAATGATTCGGGAATTGGAAAAGTTTTTAAAAACCTTATTATACCCTTCATTCGAGTATAAAATTGAAAGTAGACGTAAATTTCTACCGAATGAGCGAGAGAATGGTTATTTTTATGCATGTTTTCCATGAACTATAATTGGACTTTGAAGGGCATCAAAAATCACAGAGAAAAATGCATACTGCTTAAGTAGTCATTTTTTACAGAGTATAGAATTGCATGCAGCCGGAAGGAAGGTCTTTCAAAGCCCGGCATCCTAAGGTAACTGAAGTATTGTGGAAGTTCGCTGCAGACTGATTAGTTTGACAAATTTACTTAATTAATCTTTTCGAAACGAAAACGCATTTCGGAATTTCGGTTGACATTTTATGAGTTCGCCCACTTACTGTATGACCATATTGCAGATAAAGCCGTCACGACCGCACGAAAGGCCGGCTCTTCGAATGTGAGGCAGAATACGCTGGGCAATAGCTTCAGTCTCATTTAGCGAAGGCCGCAAGACGATATGATTAATTCTGCTTTTATTAAAAAAACCCAACATGGGAAAGAATTGCACCTTGGGGTTAGGAGGATTCGAGGAAACAACAGTTAGGTAATCTCTAAAGCCTTCTTTTTAAGCTGCATTTACTAACAAAAAATCAGGGAGACTAAGTTCTGCGTTTAGACTGAGTTAATTCAGACCACCCAACTCAGAAACCAGGCCACGATAGGACTTCAAAAGGCGCCGACAAACTGGCAACCTGGATATGCTTACTCAGTCGTCGGTGAGGTAGACTGACGATGGCGTTGACTATGACCTCTTGAGGAGTGTCGCTAATGTGAGAAGTTCCCAGGAGACCACGCATATTACTCCCGCGGCAACATTGAGTGGCGCAAAGTGCGCTTGAGTATCCCTCTCCCCCTGATGCCATCTCTTCAGTAGCCCGTTCTCACGAGTAGCGGGCAGCCTGTGGATTAGTCAAGTCGTGGATGGTCACGAAGCGCACAGACCCCGAAGTCATGACTCTCGGTCCCCATTTAGAGCAGACCTTTACCAAAAGCATCTATCCTGTCCTTTTGGGGAAGGGACCATGGAGCTTGAAAACGAGTTGGGTTGGGGGAGTTAACGCAGGACCAGTGCAGAGAGTTGTGAATCGAAAACATTAATGCTGACATGTAGTGAAGTGGGTTACAGTAAGTGGGCTAACTCATGAAATGTCAACTGAAATTCTGAAATGCCTTTTCGTTTCCAAAAGACTAAGTACGGTTGTAAAACCAATCATCGTGCGGCATAATTCTATAATCATTCAGTTACCCCAAACGCTGGCTTTCGAAGAAACCTCTTTCCGGTTGCATTCAAAAACCATTCTCGGTAAAAAATTACTGCAAAAGTAGCATGCATTTTTTCATCGATTTTCGATGCCCTTAAAGATTTAATTATATTTTATAGAAAACATGCATAACAATATTCAATATATTGCTGACGCAGTTGAAAGCTACGTCTTCTTTCAATTTTATACTCGAAGGAAGGGTACAATTTGGTTTTATAAAACTTCCAATTCCCGAATAATTTTTAACCCAACCTGCCGTTACATTTGCGTTCAGGGCTTCCAAACTACAAGCCTTATATTTTTTGCGTACTGAAAAGCATACGTTTCTCTACGGCATTAAGATGGACTATATGGGGTTCATAAAATTTAGCAGTGGATTTGATTCATATTGTCAACTTTACAAGCCACAATGGTAAATGAAGAGACATGAAGATTTAGGAAGGGCCATTTCACGGTATTAAAAAATCTCACAATTAAAAATGTTTTAAAACCGAATTATACCCTTCCTTCGAGTATAAAATTGAAAGAAGACGTAATTTTCTATTAAATTAGCAAAATAATGAATATTTTTATGCATGTTTTCCCATGAAATATAATTGAATCTTTAAGGGCATTGAAATCAATGAGAAAATGCATGCTACTTATGCAGTCATTTTTTACCGAGTATGGTTTTTAAATGCAGTCGAAAAGACGCTTGTTCGTAAGCCGGCGTCCTAGGTTAATTGAATTATTATAGAATTATGCCGGCTAATGATTATTTTTACAACCCTACTTAATTAGTCTTTTTGAAACGAAAAGACATTTCAGAATTTCGGATGGCCTTTCATTAGCTAGCCCACCCACTGTAAATGGAAGATAAACCACCGGATATACTGAGACCGAATTCCAAAGGCGATCACGATAAAACCAAAGTCACAGACTTTCCTAGTATTTATGAAAATGTGTTTTGAACTTATTTGTGCCTTCCATGCCACAGAGCTCATTTTAAACAAAAAAACTATCGGCACAATAATGAGTTTCTGTAGCACGGTCATAATAGAGTCAGTTCCTTTTTTCTTTGCAAAGGAAGGAAATTTGGGGGGCGGAGAGAGGGAAACCAACCTTTTCCTTAAAAACGCTAAAGCAGTTTCTCCCCAGAGTACAGAAAGTATCAGAAGGAAATTCCCGTTTACATTCTGGAACAGTTCGTTATTTCTGGCTGTTAACTACATATGTTCAGTGTTACAGGACAACCACCCAGGTATAAACTGGAATGAAAAGGGGGACCCAGTTTTGTGTTTTTGTCAACGTTTGTCAATTATGAACGTATGAAAATGGAAATATGAAACGTTAAATTTGCCGGAGGAATGAATTGTGGACTGGCGTTCTGTGGTCGGAGCCCCATCTACAAACACGGAACAAGTTACAACAAAAACAAATGTCTGTTATCAACCATCAGTTCAAACAATGCACAACCAGGTTCAGAAAAACCGTCCTAGCGAAGACAAAAGCTCTTACTATCCGCGCAGTGTATTCGAACGAGATGTAAATGTACTTATTTAGCAGGCGAGTGATGGACCTTAGTTAACTGCCAGTAGACCGTGGATTGTGTCATATAGGGTTTTATCTTGGCATTTGCAGGCCGTCGCAGGCATTACACGGTCAACAATAATCACTTCGTATGACCTCAAACCATTATTCAAAATCCGTTATTTTTTGAAAATTTGCTCTTTCGCTACTTTTTAATTAACGCGCTCATTTCCGTTGCCATAAGAAAGCGTACGATAAGAGTTTCATCAGAAATCCAAATAATTCCGGTGCCGTTTCCATTTCGTTAGCATACTGTCTGCTATGCTGTCCCACGCGTGAAACTCCCATTACCATCAATCACGTACGGCACGATCCACTACCTACCCTTACCAGCCAGCGTTTACTTTGATTTTAAAGGTCGAGGAACTATGC